CACTTCTACTCTTGATTTTTCTCTAGTATAAGGAATCAAATGTTGTAACTATATCAATTACAAGATCAGCCTGTGTTATAACCAGAAACAGTCTGTTCTACAGATAAGCGTGGTGGGCAATATGTCCATAATGTCTCATGAAACTGATGGAGATGACAGTCATGAGCCAAATGGCATTTCCACAGGGCCCAGATGACTAGAGACGTGATATCTATTGGGTTGTCGGAAAAGTCACGGCATATTTTTTCTATACAAAAATGCATCATGACTTTTCCGAAAACCAATATATTCCTAATGTTTCACATTGTCAAAACACTCTAATCCCTATGTTTTTGTTAAAATTATACATTTTTAAAAGGTTTTTGCCATAGTGTGCATGTGCTTGCCAGCAAGACAGTGAGAAGGAAAGTAGAAACCACTCCCCAGGAGAGACGGCCAGGGCTGCAATCTCTTCTCTCCATCCTCCTCCTGAGATTTGGAGCATGTGCACATGTGCACCTGGTATGAATTTCAAGCCATTGTGTCAGGGGCTCGAATCACAGCTAGCCATATGGGAATCTAGTGCCTTAACCATTATGCTACCTGCTGGCCCCAGGATTATAAATTTGTAATGCTATTTGTTCCAACTAATTAATGAATTTTAATGTGCATTAGTTCTCTCTTTGATTTATTCCTTCCTACCTTCCAATAATTTTTCATTGGTCAAAAGAAGTAGACAGTGACCTGACTTGACTATTAGCCAAGAAGTAGAGCAGAGGTGGGATTAAAGTTCGCAGAGGACCAGGTGACCAGGTAAAACTTATTGCCATAATGGGAGCCCCTGAATCTAGAGGCAAACAACACACATAGGGCAAATTTAATACACAAACCAAAACAATAGTTGAAAAAAGAACTGAAGTGACCAAGAGTGTACTGAAGCAGTATGAAGATTACTTTAAACTGAAAACATCTGACCAAAAATCAGCCACAGAAAGGAATATTATGTAAAGTTAAACAAATCCTAAAAATACAGCTTCCACTCACCAACTCTCAGTAGGGGGGGAGTGAACCTTAGCACTGGGAGGTGTAATGCAGCTGCCATTAATCTCCCTCCACAAGAACTTCCAGCCAGAGATACTGTCTGAGAATCAGGATGGCATTTTCTTATATTCCCACTGAAGTCCTACCTCTCCCCTCTCTAGTTAAGCGGGTATATAACCCTTAGCCCTGGCTGTCCAGTGGGGCGTTCCTAGCAGAGTGCTTCCATGGTGTGTAAAATAGACTCTACTGTTAATTTGTCTGTTGTCAGCTATTTCACAGGCCCTGATACTTGCAACTAAGTTCTATGTCAGTAAAATGTTTCTCCTCCAAGAACCTTAACTGGAAAAGGCCAGAGTAGGAATTTTAAACTAAATTGTGGGAGTAAAAAAATAAAAGTGAGCAGACACTTTGGGGCTCAAACAAAGGGGTGTGGTGGAAAGAGGCAAGAAAATGTAATCATGCACTTCAAACACCTGGCATTTATGGGTGTGCAGGGCGATGATGTTGACTGACTCACTGCAACCAGAGCAAGAAACCTAAGTAAAACAAAGAGCAAGGATGGAATGGTATCTTTTGCTCAGAATTCCTTAATTCACTTTACATGGCCTGAAGCATAAAATGCACCTTCTTTCTGAAGCACTTGTCTAATGAAAATTAGACAGGAAAACTTTAACTAAGATTATGAAATTTTCTATCATCACAAAGTGAATTATAGTAGAAACGTGCATTGCAGCAACAATACCAGGTAAGTCTTATGTTATAGAGGCATTTTCCTGAAATATAACTTTAAAGTCTTGAAAAGAATCACCCCCAGTCCTTTAATAAAGTAGGATGCCTATAAGGATATGAACAGAAGAGCAGGGCAGCATCTTTTAAAATGCCTAGAGGATAAAAATGCACAACCTTGATCAGTGAATATCCAAGATGCAAGGACACTCTCTAAAGTTCAAATTCATTCAATCTAATTCTATGCTCTCTCTTACATTAAGGCCAAAAATGAGTATTAACCATTTTTATTAACTATGACCCTCGTTTATTAAATACTAAAACCTGCTAGTACGAAATGCTTCTGAATGTGGTGATATGTATTTTTGCAATTTATGCACAAAAGTTATGTGAGTAAAGTTATAATAGGCTTAATAAATTATATAAATTTCTATCCTTCTTACATTAAGTTGAAAACTTACGTTCTTTACTACTAAAATGAAGCATTTGTTGCAGTTATCTGATAGTCATGGTAGTAATTAGTAGCACAGTCAATGTAAACTAAACTTTGAATAACATATACTGCCCCAACATAAAATAAAGAAAAATAAGGAAAATATTTTGAGTTTCTATGGAAACCAAGTATCTTGACTCCAGATTTCTTTTTTGGTTTGCTTTAATCTTTTTGAAAAATGTTTTTGCAAACCTATAAGTTTAGCTTGCCTCTTTACAGATTTTTCAATTTTAAAATATTCAGAAAATATTTTTAAATTAGTTTTCATTATTTCAAACATTTTAGCTTTCCAAAGACATTTGAAAGTTTAAAGATAAAATAATTAAAATATTTCCAGTTTCAGCTTCATTGAAAAAGATAAAATATATATAAGATTGTATTTTTCTTAAAGGGTTTAATAATATGGCTAAAAATATTAAACTAATGAAAATAAATATGTATAAACTTTCTATCCAAGAACAGTGACTGCTAATGCCATAAACATTCAAAGGGGATTATCAATATGGCCAAGTGTTTGGGCTTACAGAGGATAAAGGTTCAAGTTGGGAGAGAGTGTGAAGGTTTTCACAATTCCTTACCTGAAAAAAAAATTCAATCCAATTAAAAGATTAATAAATCAGCTGAACAGACAACTCTCCAAGGAATATATAGGAACAGCCAAAAAGCATTTGAAATAATGCTCATCCTCCCTTACCATAAGAGAAATGCAAATCAAAATCACAATAAGATACTACTTAAGAAGGGGTAAGACTAAAAAAAAAAATAAAAAATAAAAAAAGAATGATAATGCTAGTGAGGTTGCAGTGACAGAGAACTCTCCTACACTGTTGACTGGTAGCAATGTACATTGGCCCAGTCACTGTGGAGAACAACATGGAGGTTCCTCAAAGACCTACAAATAGAACTACCACATGATCTAGCAATCCACTCCTTAGTATCCACACAAAGGACAGGGGAACACTCAGTTGGAAAAGTACTTGCACATCTATGTTTACTGTAGCGTTATTCCTAACTGCTAAAACATGGAATTGACACAAATGTCCACAAACAGATGAATGGGTTGAAAAAGTTTGCACTTATACACTATGGAATACTATTCTGTCATAAAAACAATGAAACCTTGGCATTTGATAGAAAGTGGATGAACATAGAAGATCTAATGCTAAGTGAAACAAGCCACACTATCACGGAGAGATATTATATGCCCCCCACATACTATAAACTAAATGTCTACATATATTCAGTTTCTATGGCAGAAAATTAAAGATTGGAAAGTATAAAATCATGGAGAGCAAATGTGGATGCTAGAGATGGTGAGGGAGAAAAGTAGGGGAGGGACGGAATCAAGGGGGAAAAAAGGCAAAATAGTGAAGGGACACAAAAATTAAAAATCATCTGTTGATAATTTTTATGGCAATATTTCTGACTGGTCTAATATGCAGTGTATTCATGCTGGGAAAATTCACTTTGCATGCTGTAAAGATATATGCTGTTTTAATGTAAAATAAATTAAAAATTAAAAAAAGAAGAGGTAGAGAAAAAATTACTGATTTAAGACTCCTTTGTTGGCACGAATCCATTTATTTATTTATTTACTTATTTATTTTGAGAGAGAGATTTTTGTTATAGGATGCATGTGCTTGCTGGAGAGACAGAGATAGTGAGACAGAACATGAGAAATCCACTCCCCCAGGGGAATGGTCACGAGGCAACCCATTCTCTTCCTTTTACCTCAGGATTTTGGGCATGTACACATGCATCCAGTATGAGTTCTAAACCACTGGGTCTGGGACTTGAACTGTAGTCAACTATGTCGGAGTCTGACAATGTAACCATTATGCCATCTGGTGGTCCTGGCACATCTTCTTTTAGCTAAGCTCAAATGAAGCATCTTTCTCAACTAATCATCCTCCATATGGAAAGACATTGATATTGCTTCACCTTATTTCTTATCTTTCTCTTTTTTTATTTATAAAAATAAATATTGATATTTTAGTCAAGAATTAATCACAAAAAAATCTAAAATCCTAAACCTAATCATCTTCCATATGGAAAGAGATTGATACTGCTTCACCTTACTTCTTATCTTTCTCTTTTATTTTATTTATAAAAATAAATATTGATATTTTAGTCAAGAATTAATCACAAAAAAATCTAAAATCCTAAACATTAACTTTTTTCATCCTTAAAGAAATAAAATTATTACATATGATTGAGATCCATCAGCATAGGAGGACTTAGGTGCTTATCACTTAAAAGTTTTCCTCCTGACTCTTCTGTTAGTCATGTGAACTTTTGCTGATCTTGAATATTTCATTAATAAAATTATAGTATTGTGGGCCAGCAGGCAGTGTAGTGGCTAAGGTGCTGGACTCCCACTGGTTGACCCAGGTTCAAGTCCCAGACCTGGTTGCTTGAAATTCACCCCAGGCATGTGTGTGTGCATGCCCAAAATCCTAAGTGAAGAATGGAGGTAAAGGTATTATGGTATGGTCACATCCTAGGAGGTTATTTCTCATTTTCTCTTTCTCTCTGCCTCTCTGGTGAGTACACAAGCCCTATAGCAAAAATGTCTCAAAAAAAAAAATAAGTGAATTAATAAATAAAATTAGAAAATTGGCTGTCCTGATCCCTAATGATGTTTCCCTCTGCCCTAAAATATTAGGATTTTATAATATGTTTTTCTGAATATTAGACAACCTTGCAATATTTTTAGAATTTTATATAAGATGTAGAAAGTAGCTCTTAAAATAATACTCACATTTTGGCCCACTTATCTAGTTCTTCTTCAAGATACGTTTTAACCATTTTTGGTTGCAGGCCAAGAGAATTTCCCAATAAATAGATGGCATTTTCATCCTTATTCACTAAAGATATATCAACTAAAACAGAAGAAAATGGTTAAAAAAATTAATCAATTAACATTTTTCAGTCTGGTATTGTTAATCTAGTACAAGCAATTGATTTAATTAACTCCAAGAAAAACAGTAAGTAATTTACAGTTACTCTGAAGAATAACAGCAGGTTCTCTGAAAAACAATTAACCTTTGCATTTATATTTTAAAATATAATTTAAACCTATAGAAATTAATGTGGAGATCACTCATATTTATTGGGTTATTGTGCTACATGAGAAAATCTGAATCACCAACTAGTCCCAGTCGTAAACAACCAAAGGAAATAGAAAAGATCTGAAAACAATTTTTATAGGAATGATATCAATCTATTTAAATGTATTAGAAGATTACGAAAATTTAGACAATTACTAACTCTCCACATTAGTCATAGCTGCAGATATGGCAAACTGAATAAATCTAAGATTGTTTATATATTGTACTTAGATATATTGGATTTATAACTTTTCTTATTCTCTATATTCATATGTATAGTTTACATATATATATATGAGTATATACACACACACATATATGCATAGGCAGAGATTGTTCTGTATATCTACTTCTTACACAAATAAATCAGAACTTTGCTGATTTGTCTTACAATTCACCCATGACTGCAAACAAATACAGTTTCATTAATAAACCAATCTAAGGGCTTAAAATACAGTCCAGAAATGCACGTTTACGATCATAATTATAAACCACTGAGTTTGCTCTAATTCCATGGGGGGAGAAAAACAAGTTTCTTGCTCGTATTTCATTGGAATTAGTCAGTACTATACTTGTCTACTTCAGACTCCTTAACTAAACCTTTAAAGACTTTTTAAAAGCACACCATATGTTTCAACCTGATCACTTTTCTTTTTTTCTTTTTTTTTTGGATACGTTTTTGTTATAGAGAGCGTGCACTCGCCAGAAAGACACAGAGAGACAGAGAGAAAGGGAGAAATCACCCCCCAGGGGGTATGGCCATACTGCAATCCCTTCTCCTCCATTCTCGTCTTGGGATCTTGGACACACACGCACACGTGCCCGGCATGAGTTTTTTAACCCACCAGGTCCGGGACTTGAACCGTGGTCGACTACATGGGAGTCCAGAGACATAGCCATTACGCTAACTGCTGGTCCCCAACCTAATCACTTTTATAGATATTGTTCCTCTTTTTTCTTGCCATTTTTAAAATCCATCCCAATGAAAGAGATGTAAATGCTGTTCACACGTTTAAATTGAATTCATTAGCAGTTTCTTTGTTGACCTAGAGGACAAATATTAAAGGATCTTATTTAAAATGTAGAACTCTTTTTTTATTTGTTTTTTTTTTTTTTTTGAGAGGTTTTCGCTATAGGGCACGTGCGCTTGCCAGACAGACAGAGAGAGACAGAGAGACAGAAAGCAAGAAATCACCCCCCAGGGGGGATGGCCAAGCCGCAATCCCTTCTCCTCCATTCTCCTCTCGGGATCCTGGGCGCACATGCACACGTGCCTGGCGTGAGTTTAAGCCACCGGGTCTGGGACTCGAACCGCCGTCGACTACATGGGAGTCCAGCGACATAGCTATTACGCTAACTGCTGGTCCCAAAATGTAGAACTCTTAATTGGTGTACCATGGCTCAAATTTCAATGTAATATTTAAGTAAGTACTGTTTGAAGGCTAAAGTTGTTTTATGTGTGTCAGACCCATCAATGACCCAAGAAAATGAGGTGACTATGCTAATCCCATTGTCTTGTCTTTTTTTTTTTTTTTTTTTTTTCTGGTGCTTTTACTAACAAAAAGACTGTGGTCTGCTTTCATTCAGAAAGTAATTTTTAAAGTGTATTCAATGTAAAAGAAAAGCAGAATTGCACACCAAACATTTTAGCCCAATGCCAGCCAAAAATACAATTCCTATTTTATTTCACTATGTCTCTTTTTCTACATTGAACTGTTTGTTTAATAAATCTACTTGTGGTGGCTTCCAAGTGGCATGGTGGTTAAGGTGCTGGACTCCCATATGGTCGACCAAGTTTCAAGTCTTGGACCTGATGGCTTGCTTTCTCACCTTCTCTCTCTTTCTCTGTCTCTCTGTGATCTCTCTCTTTCTCTGTCTCTCTGTGATCAAATTAAAAAGTAATAACTAGAATTAAATAAATCATTTAATAAATAAATATCTGGTTGTGATCATCTACTTATAAAATGATAACTAAAAAAATATACTATGAGTTGGAACCAGAAGGTGCTGTAGTGGTAAAGAGCTGGTCTCCCATGTAGTCGACTATGGTTCGAGTTCCAGACCTGGCAGCTTGAAACTCATTCCAGGTATGTGTGTGTGTATATGCCCAAAAATCCTGAGAGGAGAATGGAGGAAAAGGGATTATGGCATGGCCATCACCTCTGAGGGGTGAATTCTTGCTTTCTGTCTCTCTGTCTCTCCAGTGAGAACATGTAACCTATAGTAAAAATCTCCACCACCACGCCAAAAAAATACTATGTATAGACAATAGATCCTTTTGGAAGGTCAAGTGGTGATGCTGTGGTAAGAGCTGGATCCATGTGGGGAAGGTCCTGGGTTTCTGTCCTATGTACTTCTCAAGTTTTCTGGGCTCTCATGCAACTGCTCACAATCCAGACAAGCAGGACTGGACAATGGATAGCAGTGTGAAGAACCTGTTAAGAGTGTGTCTTTATCTTTTTTGTGGTAGAAAAAAAAAAACTTTAAAGATGTAGTTCAATAACGAAAATTATTTTTATTTTAATTGTTCATCAATGAAACAGAGCAGGTAATCAAACACCTTTGACAAGGTCCTTCTTTTTTTTATTTAATTTATTTCTTTTTTTTGTATATACATTCAGTCGCATTGCTTAGCTTACAATGTGAGCATTTCAATATGTGAACATTTCTCCCCAGTCCTGTTGATCAAAATATCTTCAACCGATAACACCACACTTCCTCATCCTGTCAATGTTCTACGAAGGACGTTTGGAGAAGGGATACGGAGACAGGGTCCTTCTGCATCACCAGCCCCTTCGCTTAGTCCTCCAGCTAGTCCAGATATCATAGATACACGTTTGCTTACACCTCCTGCATTTCAAGTAGACTGGGGATCCAAACCTGGGTTTAGCAATGTGGTTTCCAGCACTGCAGACCAACATGCTATGCTGCCTGGGCCAGAAAATAAATCTTTATATCTTTCATTTGGATTTATCTAGTGATTCATCACATCAGGAGCTTGGGGAAAAATAAAAAATATCAATATCCAGACTTGGCTGTAGGATTCTAATTTAATTTGCCTGGTACAAGGCCTTAGTTAGGCTTTTTTCTTCTTTCTTTTTTTTTTTTTTTTTAGTTTCTGTTGTTATAGGGCACATGCTCTTGTCAGAGACAGAAGTAGAGAGAGACAGGGAAAGTGAGAAATCATCTCCTGAGGGGATAGCCATGCCTCAATCCCTTCTTGTCCATTCTCCTCTAGCGATTTTGGGAATGCACAAGCACGTGCCCGGTATGATTTTCACATCACAGTGCCCAGGACTAGATCTGTGCAGTTGACCACGTGGGATCCAACCACCTTAACCGCCACGCCACCTGCTGGCCTAACTCTAGACATTGGAAAAAACTTCCCTCAACAAAATGTTGGTAGGGGTTTACTTCAGAAGGCCTAGCACTTGTCCCTTCATTTAAAAAAATAAATAAATAAAATAAAGAAGCAAACAAAAACTGTGAATTCTCTACTTTAATTCAATTATGCAAGGTCACAGAAGGCCATTTACCTTTAACTTAATATAGCATGTTTTTATTGTAATTTACGTTTAGCTAAGTTAATGTTAAATATTTTAAGATTCAATAATAAAACACATGTGAAATAATTCTAGGCAAAGTTTTCTAACCCTTTTTACATGATGAAGCACATAAAAAATTAAATTGTGCAGCATATTGTAATACATCAAAAATGCTACTTTAGGGCAAAGGTAAAAAGACACAGTCCAGTTGCCCCATGAGCTGAAAAAATTAAAATATTGATATACTTCTAATTCCCAAACACATGCACATAAACACACTCAATAAACTTACAATGAAAATCAAATTTAAGTTTATACAGAAACAATGAAGTAACTGAAATAACTCTACTTTTAAAATTTTTACAAATTAAAAAGAAAACTTATGGTCATCAATAATGTCATGGTAGTAAAGCAATGCTCTGTGATGCTAAAGACTCATGAGAAAGATTTACATTTGTGCCCCCCAGGTCTCCTTGTACATGCACTGTGCACACATGTGTACCAGTGATCTGGGCTGGCCTAGGCTAGGGAGCAGATCACAGCTTTAAGACCCTGTTAAGAGTCTTTCTCCCCCCACTCCCACTCAAGAAATAAGTAAACAAATTTAAAATTAACATAAAATAGGGCCAGATGGTGATGTGGTGGTTAAGGTAGCTGAATCCCACATGGTGAACTGTACTGTTCAAGTCTCATACCCAGCAGCTTGAAAGATGCATCAGGTATGTATGAGTGCATGCTCAAAATTCTGAGAGGAGCACGGAAGAAAAGGGATTGTGGAGTGGCCACCCATTCTGAAAGGCTATTTCCCACTTCCTTTTACTCTGGAAAGCACAAACACTCTATGGCTAAACTAAACTAAAGAAGAAATCTAGGGACCAGCAAGTGGTGTAATGGCTATGTCCCTGGACTCCCATGTAGTCGACTGTGGTTTGAATCCCAGACCCAGTGGCTTAAACTCACACCAGGCACGTGTGCATGCACACCCAAGATCCTGACAGAAGAATGGAGGAGAAGGGATTGTGGCGTGGCCATCCCCCCTGGAGGGTGATTTCTCGCTTTCTGTCTCTCTGTCTTTCTCCGTGCCCTATAGAAAAAACCTCTCCAAAAAAAGAAAAAGAAAAAGAAAAGAAATTTGAGCCTAAAATGTCAACATACTGTATTGGTTTAATTGTAAAATATGAGCTAATTTTTTTTAAAAATCCAGAATTCCTTTTTCAAATCTAGAAG